AAGAAAGAAAGAAAGAAAGACAGACACAGGGCAAGCAAGACTTATGTTTGAAAGCAGTTCAGCTGGATCCTCACATGCCATTACACTATTTCAGCATGCATCCCAGGCTGGGCGGGAAGAAGCTTGGGGGGAAGAGGAGTGACAAAGCCTCCTCTTAGTCTCCAGGAGGACTTTCAAAAGACAGGGTCTTTACATAGTCCAGGCTATTCTCTAAGTCACTGTAATTTGAGTGGAGAGGAGTGGAGGGTGACCTTGAACTCTTGGTCTTCAGGTCACCCCCTGCCAAGTGCTAAGAACACAGGTACGGGCCATCACACCTGAGTGGTCAGGAGCCTCTGGTGATGAAACAGAATCCACTCTTTTGTTTTTCTTTAGACAGTTTGCACATGGGTGCTTCACTTCTCAGATCGGCACGCCCCCTTCCCTCTGGCTTCAGTTTTGTTTCTAGTCTTTTCACTCTCGAGTTGCCTGGTGCAGATGGATGCTCTCCTCTCTCAGGGTTTGATAACATAATGGCATATTTATTTTTCTGTTCGCATCTTGTGTGAAAAATGCACTTAAGGCTGCTAATGAAAACAAAAATAACATCTCACTGATGGCCCAGCCGAAATGGCGCTGTCTTAAGAACCTGCTCCATCAGCGGTGGTATTCTAGAAGCTTCTGCAGTGATTTCCAGCTGAATACAACTGCTAAATCCCTCAGTATTAGGACAGGGTCCTAATACTGTCTGAGCATCAGTTGCTCAGGCCCATGTCAATTACTCACTGTGTTTCTTTAGCTAGCTTATCAGGCCCTGGAAAGCAAGGGCGTGCTATATGTGGCTTTCTTTGCTTTAGTATTTGGGACTTATCACCTGTTCATATCTCCTGGGAGAAGCATCTTCATATTCCTTTGGTGCTAAGAGGAAATTGCCAATCACATATTGGTGAGTTTAGGTCTCCTACCTCATCAGGCAGTCAGTCTACTGACACACTGTTATCTACAGGTTCTCAGTTTTCCTCTTGACTCTGTTGTCTTTTCATTTTTCAATTTTTTTAAAATCATGAGTCCCTCTGTCCTAAGATCTTTATCCAAGCAGTATCAACTCCTTGAGAATGCGGAGACCAGGAGAAGACTCTTCTAAGTCCCAGGCATCCATCTGCCCTTCAGGACACCAGAGCCTAGGTCATTATGCCCCATCTCCTTTAGAGCCCCGATTACCAACACAAACCTGAGGATCCAGGTATCCATCATCACTGACTCTTTCCCCCATCCACTCTGTGTGGTCTGTGACCTGACAGAGTCCATGTTCATCCCTTGCAGATGCACCCTCTTTACCATGTTCCCTAGAACTCATATCGATCCTCAGCCACACTCCTGTAGCCTCCAGCCACTTAGCTCTGGGAGAGATTGTGTAGCCTTCTTCCCTGCCCTGTTTCATATCCATGATCATAAATTCCAGATAGGCCCTTGGGACTTTAGCACCTTGCCTAAATTTTTATAATATACCGACTCTCATTCCTAAGATATTTCATGTCTTTTCTTTGTTTCTCAACAGACACATTTCTTATTCCTTTTTCTCCCTGCTTAGGCTCCCTGGGGCCATGGAAGCGTTCCAAAGAGATCTCTACTGTTCTTCTTCACTCCTTCTTGCTAGGGTGCTCATGTCCCTGGGCTTCTTCGTCATTTCCTTGTCTTGGACACTTTCTGCTCTTGCCAGTGCCTTTGGTGTCCTGCTCTATCCAATCATTCCCATCAGAATATCAACATCATAGCCTATGCTCCACCTCTGAGAATTGCCTCTGGATCTCTAAAGCAAAACCCTTCCCCATCTCCCCTCTAGCAAAGTTCTTACTAAGAGTTGACTATTTTCCCTCATCCCGCTCCATCTTCCATTCTTCCCGAAGATGCACAGCTGGGCTTTTGTTCCCATCACCTTACTGAAGCTATCCACCTCACCTGACCACTGTCCATCATTTAGGACCACCTCATCACCAAGGCTACTGCTGGTGTACGTGTGTCCTCTACCCAGGAGCTGTGTGTGACACAATCGACTCTTCTTGTTTGTGTTGTTGTTGTTTGTTTGTCTGTTTGTTTCTGTTGTTGTTGTTGTTGTTGGGGGGTAGTTTCTCTGCAACAGCCCTGGCCACACTGGAACTCACTCTGTAGACCAGGTTATTTTTGTTTTTAAATATTTATCTTCTGCCTTGGGGGTTCCACATTCTCCTAATTTTCCTTCTACCTCATATGCCATACTCCTCCTCTCTCCTGTCTGCTTTCCTCCCTGCCTGGTACCTCTAGGCTCACTCAGTTCTTCTCTTGTCTTTTCTCTGGATGCCTCCTCTCTGGCAGATCTCCCTGTGCCTCTTACCTATGCATGTGTCCAAGTTTTACTTTTAGCCCATCTCCCCTCCAAGCTCCAAGTTCACATGTCCACTAGCCACCTGGCAACCTGGCAGAGACTCGGGTGTCTAATAGACATTCCCAGCATAGTGGGAAAGCAATGCTCTGATATTCCCCTTTCTCTAGCCCCTCCCTGCGCTCTCTCTCTCTCTCTCTCTCTCTCTCTCTCTCTCTCTCTCTCTCTCTCGTCTCTGTCAAATACATTACCATTACCATTTACCCAGTTATTCGGGGTTCTGAGCCTAGAAATCACACTTGAGTGGTTTCTCTTTTTTCTCTTCCACATGCACAAATTTGTCAGCTCCGCTTTTTAAAAAAATATTTATTTATTTATTATGTATACAATGTTCTGTCTGTGTGAATGCCTGCAGGCCAGAAGAGGGCACCAGACCTCATTACAGATGGTTGTGAGCCACCATGTGATTGCTGGGAATTGAACTCAGGCAATGCTCTTAACCGCTGAGCCATCTCTCCAGCCCCCATCAGCTCGGCTTTTGAAGGAAGAGCCCAGTGTGCTCACTCCTCACTGCCTCTCCTTGCACAGTACACCAGAGTCCCAGGCCTCACGACCCCTCTCCTAGACCTTTCTAAAGCCTCCTCGCTGGTCTCCTTGTTTCCACACTCCCTTGCAATCGGCCATTCTTCACCCAGCCAACACAATAATTATCACAAATCATAAAGATGAGCCACTCAGTTGCTAAAACCCCTCCAATGGCTTCCAACCATAAACACACAAGCATGCAACTTTTACTTGAGCAAAAAGACCCCTCATGATGTGACCTCATCTGCCCCCAGCCTCTTTTTGCGCTTGCCTCTTGCCCTTGCTTGAGCAGACGAGGTTTTCTCATCTTTGTACCCACTGTTCCCTCTGCCAACCGGCTCTTCCTTCCTGATTTCACAAGCTTAGCTGAATCAGCGCTCTGCTTCAATATCCCTACAATGCATAAAACTTCCCAGACTACCTGTTCCATCCTCCTTACGCTACCTGTCTGACAGCATTTAGTAATCCTTAACTTCTTAGGGCATATTTGCACACATCTATTTCATGGGCAAGGGCTTTCTGCCTTGTTCACCCTTAGCGGCTAAAACAAGGGTTCAGCGAGCATTTGAGTAAACAGGTACAACAATAATAGTGTACTCTCAAGGAGGCAGAAAGAGGAGGAGTGTGGGAAGAGAAGTAGGCAGAGAAGCTAAAGAGTGTCCTCCAATAAACTCAAAGCTCCAGGATCCTTCCAGGAGAAAAGTCAGGAACAGTGAAAGGCAGGCACAAAGAAGGCCATAGGGTGAGTCTGCCTCCCTGGTAGCCCTGTTCTACTGAATCCCATAACAACAGAAATCCAGTATCCCCACTGTCTCAAAATGTAGCTACTGGTCCTGGCTGGTTGTTGAGCACTTGAGAAGTGGCTAGTGGTACTGAGAGACGGAAACTGGGGATAATTTAATTTCAGTCCACATTTAAACAGCTGTACATGGCTGGTGGCTATATCATTCAATAGAACTTAAAAAGCATCACGTGGGGCAAGATGATCGTTGCTGAAAAGTCTGATCAGTATCTGGGGCACAGTTGAAACTCAAAAACTAGGCCTATTATTCTCCCACAGTGTTGCAATATATGCTGCTGTAATTGATACAGGCCTCCAAGGAACTTTAGAGGGATTGTGTTATTAACGTTTTTCGCTATGATTTTGTGTTTGTGAGAGTTCGTGGTAACCAGACCGTGAGTCTGTGTTTTAGCTTACCAACTAAAAATAGCAAAGAAGTGCTTTGGGATTGCATCGAAGGCCTTTCGGAGACAGGGGACTGTTCCGAGTGGGTTGGGCTGTGGATGCTTAGGAGGGGCTAATTAATTTCGACAACAGCTAATTTTGCATCTGCAAAAATTGGATTTGCAGAATTATCGTCCCTCTTTCAAGCTGTCGTCCACCACTTCCGGGATGATTCTGGAGAAGAGCGAGGTCTGCTTTCAAACTTGCTGATACAAATGAAAGAGTGCTTGCCTACTGGATTGTTATGGTGGGTTCTTTAAGGTTTTAAATGGTGTTTGGATGTAAAACAACAATAAGGACCACCATTTCTGTTGACATGGTGGGTCACCACGTTCTCCATACTCTCTTCCAGAACAAAGCGGAAAGCAAAATGAACAGCCAGAGCCTACGCAGACACTATAACTAACTGTAACTAACACTGTGGAATGAACCACCTAACCCAATCCTGCTGCCACACAATCCTGCTGTCCAGAGTAAGCACAGTGGAAAATTTTCAAGCCAATAGGACTTACTCCCCCCCCCCCCCATAGCGGACAGAGCACAATCAGTCTGCTTTGGGGACTCTAAAAGAGTGAGTGACTTTAAATTAAACAGGCTTAAAGGCATTAAGAAAAGTTGACATTCTTGCTAAAGAGACCAATGAATCTGGAGCAGCCAGGAACCTTCTTTACTAGAGCTGACGAAGTGACCTAGCACCCACTGCAAAGGCTACTGGAGTAGAGAGAGGGAAAACTCTTAATTCCCAGGAGGGAGTCCTTCTGTGCGCTTTGAGATGCAGACCAGCCCTTTCCTCCCCAGTCTCCCATGGAGACTCCCCCTCCCCCGTTAAGCAGTGGCGCTGAGAACACTTACCGATGGGCATCACTAGGAAGAAAGGCAGCCAGCAGAGGACGAAGCAGCCCACCACGATGCCCAGAGTCTTGGCCGCTTTCTTTTCTCGGGAAAACTTGAGCAGCCTCACGGAGAAGTGAGTCTTATTCTTGGCACTGTGCACCCCGCCGCCTCCTGCTGGGACATTTTTCCGGTGGATGCGGAGCGTCACTTGCTCCGAGTCCGACTTGTCGGTCTTGAGGCCGGACTTGAGGCCCCGGCTTTCCCTCTTAGCCACCACGTAGACTCGACAGTACATAACCAGGATGATGGCCAGTGGCACGTAGAAAGAGCCCAGCGCGGAGAACAGCACATAGCCGGGCTCCTCGTTGATCTGACAGATGGTCTCATCCTCAGGCGCAGGCTGCCTCCAGCCGAACAAGGGTCCGATGGAGATGACCAGGGAAAGAGCCCAGACACAAAGCAGAGCCCTGACGCCCCTCCTCTGGGTCACAATGGTGGGATAGCGCAGCGGGTAGCTCACACCAATGTATCGGTCGATGGAGATGATGCAGAGGCCCATGATGGACGCTGTGCAACACAGGACGTCCACCGCTGCCCAGATGTTGCAGAAGACCCTGCCAAAGGCCCAGTAGCCCAGGATCTCAAAGATGGCCGAGAAGGGCAGCACTGTGGAGGTGAGGAGAAGGTCTGCCACCGCCAGGTTGACAATGTAGTAGTGAGTCACCGAGTGCAGATGCCGATGACAGGCCACCGAGAGGATCACTAAGATGTTCCCCAACACCCCGAATATGATGAGTCCCCCTAAGATCACCCCGAGCAGAATGGCCTTAGAAATGTTCACTGGTGCTGGTGGGTGGGTGCAGTTGGAGCCTTCGGAAACATTTTCAGCGAGAAGCACCATGGTCCCAGGGAGGGGGGCAAGGTCCGGCTCTGGACGGCCACCCTCTGGTGGGGGTGGGGTGGGGGAAGTGAGGAAGAAGAGTCAAACAACCTCAGCTTGGGGGAATCCTGCCAGCTGGGTTGGGCTGGGGGAGCGAGAGAACACACCTGTTGGAAACCACCCTGGGCAGCCCTGGGAACCCTCAGAGGGCCACACTGAGTCACAGAGCATTAAAGGTGACATGGCCAGGGGCACTCTGGGCTGCTGGGGTCACTCTCCCTACCCGAGGCTTGCAGCCAGGTTCAAGGGGACATGCTCAGAATGCAGTCTCAGAGATTACAGGAGTTCGCTTTTCTGCGTGGTCTGATCCATCCTGTGCATTCGCACGTAAATTAGAAATTCACAAGTCTATTGCCAGTCTTTGCCGAAAGAGGAATTAAGTGTGGCGCAGCCGTCGAAGCTCAAAGGCAGGGACCCTGGGCATCTGGGCGCTGCCACTGGCTGGTAGATACTCTTAGCTTGGCCGGCTGCTCTGGCGAGGTGACATGGGTCTGAAATATTTGCTGAGACCGAAGTGGCCCTGGAACTTCGTTTATCTGAATCCAACTGAAAATACAAAAGTGCAAAGAAAAAGGCGGACAGTGAGCCAGGCGCCCTAGACAGCCAGGCCCTGCTGAGCTCGCCCAGTAACCAGACTCCTGCTGGGAGCCCGCTGCTCTGCAGTCGGGAGTGGCTTTGGGCAGCCTCGACACAGGCGATGAGGGGAACACAGGAGGGTTAAGATCGTGTATTATATACCCCTCCTCAATCCTCCCCAGTCCTCCCCTCTGGGAAGCTGCCTTCCAGTGCTTCACCTCTCCATCGATGGCCAATTTCAATACCCCAAACAAAACCACACCACCACCACCAAAAATAATAATAAATTAAAATAAAATCAAAATAACCTTCCCACCTCAAATAATGGTAACAAAACCCCAAGCTGCAGTAGCGGAAAGCTGGACTTCGAGAGCCAGAATGAAGAAAATAAAACCCCCAAACGCCCCCTCCCTGCACCACCACCCCAGCTCTACATGCTCGACTGCGGTTGCGGGTTGTCGCACAGAGGCAAGTCGGCGGAATCTGGAGGATCCTCCGAGTCGCCTTTTGAACAGGTTGCACCACAGTCACCTGGAGAGGGCAGCCTGGGAGAGCGAACCTCAGAGAGCACGGAACCGCAGGGCCACGCGCACGCTCACTCCCGCGGAATTGGCGCTCGTGGGAGCAGAGCGCGCGAGTCCCCGTCAAGACACCTCAGAGAGAGAGAGCCAGGTTCCCAGCAAAGCCAATCCCCAGGACTAAACAGGGCCCTGATAGATTCAGGCAGGATCTCAAAGGGGTGCCCGTCCTAGGGATTCCAACCTCTAGCCACACCCGAGCTTCTCGGGAGCTAGGTAGGAGCGCAGCACTCCTCGGACCAGGCTTTGTGAGTAGCAGTCACTGCGGATTGCCTAAGGGTCTAAAAAAGAAAAAGCAAATCCGTGTGCCAGCAGTCGGGATGCCTGAGGTTTTCTGGGTTAGGGGTAATGATCTACCTAAATAACTCGATTTTTACAAACGACACACACCAGCAAACATGTGTCAGAAGTGCGGGGCTTGGGGACATGCACACTTTGTCTTTTGGGGTTAAGCCCCAAGGTAGGGATCTCAGGTGAAGGCTCCTGTGAAAATCACAAGTTCAAGCCTTCACAGGCGATACCCAAACCACGCCACTGCGGAACCCGCTTTCTCCCACCCGGGTCTGTAACTGGGTTAAAATGACACTTGTTAACTAGAAGGTAACTTCTAGTGGCAAATCAGGAAAACGCAGTGGTTTGGGGCCTTGGTATCAAAGCGGGTCCCAAAGCGGAGACGCGGGGCTAAGTGGAGGTCCAGCGTCAGCTGGAGGCCGGGCACACCTGCCCACCCCCACCCGGCCCTGCGGGATCCCGCGCCCAGCACCGCCTGTGCTACTCACCTGCTGCGCGGCTGTGGAGGTCCTGGCCGGGGGAAGAGCGGACCTTCAGTCCACGCAGCCCTGGCTGCTTCTCTGCAGCGAGGAGAGGGGCGGTCTCCAAAGACCGAGTCCCAGTCCTTAGCACCCGCTGACTCACTCACTACTGCCGAGCACCTCAAACTCCGGGCTCGCTTGGGCTTCTCCTAGATCTTTTAAACATGAAGACTAATATCAGAGAAAAGAAAAGGCAAGTACAGCAAGCCAATAACTCCAAGATCACCGGTTTGATATTCAGTTCCTGGACACCAGAAAAGAGCGGCGAGGAACTTTGCAGCTCTGGTTGACGTAGTACAGGCGGTAGCCCAGAGAGTACCGTAATCTCCAGCTGTTACCGTATTCCTCTGCGGCAACCCGCACAATCTCATAAAACTCAGGGTTAGCGTCTTTCTCCTTCCTGCCTACAAGTGGGTTTATCTCGCTCCTTTCCATTTCTCTGTTCAGCTCTGTCTCTCTCTCCCCTCCCCTTTTCATTTTCTCTCCTCCCTCTCTTCACTCTCGATTCCTCTCCCTCCTTCCCTTCTCTGGGTCTACACCCATCAATGGGCTGATATATACAGTAAAAAACAAACAAACAAAACCAGACACCCTTCCAAGTTTTTATTGAATAGATAATATGTTTACAGGAATTCCCCAAAGGTTACTTTTAAAAATTTAGTCCAACCGATGGCCCGGGTTTGTTTAAGTCAGGAAGTGTGTGGCTGGGGGTGGAGAATGTGTCAGTGTGTGGCATTATTTGCAGATGTTTAAAAAGTACACAAGACCAGATAAGATTCCCTAGATTTGATTGTAATGGTTTCAGGAAAATAAAGTCTACTAAAATATGACCAGCCTTTCATTTGGTTGGAGAGAGTTTTTAAAATTAAAAGTTCTCAAGGCAGTTTCTGCTACGATGTAGTATCTTTAAGAGTATTTGTTTCCAATTCTCAAAAGAAAATGTATCCTCAGAGGAGAACTTCCTCTCTTCAGAATTTTTTTTTAATAATTTGAGTGGCGAGCCCACACAGTCTTGTTTACTTATCTATTCCTGACTAATTCCATGGTCTGCTTAACTTAGAACTTAGAATATTAAGAACCCACAAGAGTTTTCCCAGTTTAGAACCCGTTTCCGTTGTCATCTTCTTTCTTTGTTATTGACTCCGACAGGACATATATATATTTTTTTGAAGTGCTTACTAGAATCCCTGAAGTGTGGTGATGCAAAAGTGACCTTAGGAGAATATAGGGCTCAGCTGTGTGTAGCAGCTAGTCTTTGCAAGTGTGAGTGAAACTCTGGGTTGGACCACTAGAGCGCTGTGCTTCTATTCCCTCTCCTGGGCAAAAATGTGTTCATGTTCTAAAACAGAGATGCTGAGAGAGTTTTAAAAATAGCAGCATGTCACTGTGTGCAGAGACACAGCCGTGGGTTGAGTTCCGGGGTCCTCTACACTGAAGACCTGGTACTTAGATTTTGTTCTCCTTTGTACATAAAATCTCCCCAAGCTCCTGTCTAGAGACATACTACCCACGCCTACCACATTTGATTCGATTTGACTTTCGTAGCATTTAAAGTGTGTGTAAATGGCTTGCTTCACAAACTGAATATTTGAGTCTAGAAGAAGTCTCATGGATGCTCAGACCAGAAATGCGAGCCTTTTAAACCTTCGTCTATTAGTGACTAGGGTACAATCTTTCTAAGATCCCCTCCCCATTTGGAGGAGAATGCTCTACAACCCCTGAGGCTCACTCCCTATCAAATAAATGGGGAAGAGTTCTTCTTTGGGAATCTCGCCCCCTAGAGGGAGATCATTGTTGAGCGTTGCATCCTTCTTGCCCTACATCATGAGCCCTCAGTCATTCTCTTTAAGATTCGTTCAGTGGTTTCAGTCCGGTGCTC